GTCTTAGAAAGAAATGTAGCTTCAAATGATGCTGGAGAGTCGGAAGGTACAGGACAGAGCACGGACAGAACAGCACACAGGATGAGTCTACGAGTGAGAGATTCAGAGAGTTGAACAGACAGCGTTACTTACTGGAGCGTGGACTCTTGTGTGATCCGTGTTATCAATGAGCGATTGGTTGAAAACAAGACATTAGTGCTTTGTAAGCAGAGACAAAACAGGCCAGGAGACACACAGCAAACTGGCGCCTCGCGCAAAGACGCGGCCGTGAAAACAACTATCTAGACTGTTCGTGCCATTTACCAGCTGCTGTGAATTTATTATTCATAGCTGGAGGGAAGAAACTATTTTCTGAATTCTGCACACATAAATAAAATGAAATATTAATGCCACATTTATTCCCACGTTGCTTTGAAAAAAATATTCTGAATGAGATTAAATGGACGCTTTGGTGTGTGTCTCCGCTGGAGCCGAGCAGCACATCGACAAACAAGATGGTAACAGTATCAGAAACAATTAAACAACATTAATAAACATTAACAGTAAGCACAACATAGATAAAAAAAGACATCTTGAGATGTTACACATTCTGAGCTACGGTATGAGGACAGGTAGAAAACACAGAGATGGCTCCGTCAGCAGACAAAGAGTACATTTCCAGACACCCTTTGAACAAAACCAGCACATTGGGATGCAGCTCTGAACACGACTGCCACTTCAGTGCACTCACAGATTAGCATTCATGCTAGTGGAGCTAACGGGGGAATTCGAGTGCCGAGCTTCTAAATATTAGCTTGAAAATACTGAGGAGTGTTTGAGAGCGGGATTAAAGACTTCCCGGTGAAAGAAAAACTGAGCACGCACCAAAATGTTCCATTCTGGGTGAGTGTGCGTGCATATCTTTCTGTTTTTCTTCCTTTGATCATGCTGACCAGAAGCATGCGTTTCCCAAGATGACACAATAATCAACCTCCAGCGTCTTGCACTCTTTTAACTTAGGAAATGCTGCCATGCAAAAACTTTCTTCAGGGCTAGCAGGGCAAGCAACGCTACAGTTTCACTGCTGACACCAGAGATGAGACCCGAAACCCTTCAAGTTCAAAGTGTCCTCTGTCAAGTTGACCCTACGGGCTCTGATAAGAACCCGGACCCTCGTCTGGTTCAAGTGAAGTTAATACTCAGCAATTTTCTTCTGTTTTGTTTTAATCTTTGTTTTCTTCATCAAGAACCTTTAACAAAAAGGGCAAGGTCTCAAGAATGAAAGACAGAGACAGAATAAATAAAGTAATTTATGTTAATGTTCTGTGTTCCCATAGAATCGTCTTCATGCCCATGCAACAAACCGCTTGGTTCTCGATACACAGCGTGCATACAGAGCAGGACGCCCCCTCCTGTGTTCATGCACATGCACTTCCACCAACTATGTCAAAGCAATGTTCAATCAGTTCCCAAGGACAAACAACAAAAGCATCTATTCTGAAAGCTGGAGACCTGGACACTGAGAAAATAAGGTCACATCATTTTATTAATAACATTTTCCAGTGAAAACATCTGCTTTGCAGAGGCACAG